CCATATGATTCCAGACAACTTTTATAAAAACATTTTTTTTATTAAAAGCGTAATAACAGAATTATGGACAAACATTAGGTGGAACACCCTGTATAGTTGCCACTTTTTGCGTTTGTCATGACAAAACAAAAGACATTGCGATTTTTAAATCAATTCTTAACATTTTTTTTATAATGTGACAAAGTATTTTAATGTCATAAGGATATTTTACTATTTTCTTTAAAAAAAAAAATGGGCAAAGATGAAACACAGAAGAAGGGAAAACAGCAAAAAGAACGAAAACCGGTAGACATTGGCCAAAATGAGGAAGACACGGCCACACCTTTGGACTTTTCGTTTAAAAAAATTACAAAATTAGACAGTAAGGAAAACATGAAGTTCTGACAGAAAGCAAATAGTAAAATTATATGTGTATTTAAAGAACGTTTTATAAAAACTCACCGAAACGTTGAAGGTAACAACTTGGGTCCTTTTTTTAGTAAGTCAGGTCCAGGGAGCGAGGTCATCCAGGATCGGCTCCATCCCTGAAAAAGGAAGCGTTAATAAGCGATTCCTTACCCGATCAATTTGGCTGAATAACAATAAACTAACGAATATAAAAAACATGGACACTTTAGTCCAGGAACTTTTGGAACAACCTGAAAAATTAGGATGGATCGACTTTTCGTTCAATTACATCACAAATATAGACGATGTGCGTAAACAAATTGATTCGTAAAAAAAATATGAAATTATTCAGAACTGTTCCAATACACTTTTTAGAGTATTTTAAAATTCACAAATTTGAAAATTGTTTATTTTCATGGTAACAAAATCACCGACATAAACGAAGTCTGCAAGTTGCGGAATTTGAAGGAATTAAGAAGTGTGACATTTCACGGGAACCCTATCGCAGATTTCAGAGCGTACAGAAACTTTCTGATCACATTTTTGCCCCAGGTAAGTAACAAGTTGTTTAAAGTAAAATAAATTGAATATTTTACAACATATGTATATAAACCAAGAAATAAGGTGTGGGGGTTGGGGGCAAGACAACTGGAGCAATGTTTTTTAACAAACACTATCGTCATCATAAGGTCGTCAGTCTTAAGACTGATTGGACACGCACCTCCGCTCTTTCTTATCCTGAGCTAATCTTTCGCATTTCCCCATAGATCCCACAACCTTAACTATTTGCGAACAATAGTCTAATCTAGGTCTACCTCTACTCCTTATAACTCCTGTTTTTGTCTCTAATATGTCTTTGACTAGATCTTCATGCCTGAAAAGTTGTCCTACCAACCTATCTCGCCTATTTCTTATTGACTTCCATAGAGTCCTCTGTTCTCCTATTCTTTTTAATATCTCTTCATTTTTAACCTCTATCCACGGTATCCTCATCATTCGTTTGTATCACCACATTTCGAACGCTTCTAACCTTTTCCTTTTCGCCGCGCCCACCGTTATGTTTTGCACCCGTACAGCGCCGCGCTCCTAACATAGGTACACCTTTAACAACCTTTTTCGAATTTCTAAATTTACTGTTTGCGAGCATAGAAGTGACTTCTTTTTACCCTGCGCTATCCTCTGCCTTATATCCCTACTATAACAAAGTCTAAATAAACACTAATTTCTCAAAAATTCCAATAAAAGTCAAATTTTTCTGCGAGGCTTGTTTTTGTGGTAGATTGTACTTGAAACACGGTAACAGGAGATAGGAATGTAGGTAGAATACATCCGATTTGTAAAGTTTTAATCGTCTAGTGCAACAATAAAAATATTTTAAACGAAACATAATCTCCTTTGGTCCTTGTTCCAAGTTGTTTCTAACTTTTCTACTTTGGCCTGGCTTTTCAGATAGTAAATTTGGATTTCACCCCTATCACAAAGACAGAAAGGTTACAACCGAAACCACCGGAGGCTCTGAGGATTATAGAAGCGTACGAAAGCCAAACACAACCGAATGTTAACAACACCTAATCACACACGTATTAACTGTGCAATTGAAAAATTTGGTGTTATTGTATTTTTATACATATGTATTATACTTATTATATGTAGTGGCTATTTTCTAGTTTACAAAATTATTTTTATGTTTGTTAAATCGCATTCAGAAATTTCTGTCCGTTTGCCCAATGTATCTACTTCTACATAGACGAATTATTTAACATTGGCTAAAGAATTTTCGGACTAATACCGCTACTGCTAAATTGATTTTATTTGGTTGTTTGGAGGATATGTAAGTGTGTCATCATTTTGTTACTCTTTCATCTGAAACACGAAGTATTGACTGGCGTTTTGCATACATTTGACACCGTTGAAAAAACGAAATCTCAATAAACCTGTTTAACAAGCTTTTATTTCATAAACATAAATTTACATTACACGTTATAATTAAGTGACATGAACTCAATGTTAATTTTCTCGCAAATTGTTTAATCGATCCTTAGAACCAGAGATGTTCAAAATGGGTTTTTAAGAGCATTTAAATACAAAATGCAAATACTTTTCGATTTATTTTATACGATTTAACTTTCATTCATCATTTTATATAATCACTAGCGACCCGCCCCAGCTTCGCACGGGTGCAATGCTGATATTAAATATGTATATTTTTGTTTTGTTTAGATTATTATCGAGAAGGGGAAATCTTCAAAAGATACCCCCTGAACATACTAAATATACTACAGAATGTCTTTATATACAACATTCACAGTTTTTTTGTCATTAGACAATACAAACCGGCCTCCCGGCCGGTACCGCCGCAACCGCTATGTCCCTGCTTTTAAATCTGTAATATCTTCGAAAATATTCATTTAAATTACATGCTGTAAAGGGCCATACTGATCTATATTAAATGCTCAATGTATTTAAAAGTACTTAATTGGATAAGAATGAATGCTGTATTGCCTACAATCGCTTCGTAAATAAGTCATTATTTCTCATAAGAAGTAAAGGATAAAAATGGTTATTGTGGGTTATCCCTAAGAGATAGACATATACCATCGCGGTATTTTTTTATAGACCCTTTTAAGATGTTCAATATTGTAGTACATTATTTTGATCTATCTCGTAGGGTTCAGCCAGCGTTTGCAATGTAAGCGCAAAAAATGTGTTTATTTACGACATCACATTAGAAACCTCTAAAATTATCAGTGTTTCCCTACTATATTATGCATGTATTATCCATATAAACCTTCCTCTTGAATCACTCTATCTTTAAAAAAAAACCGCATCCAAATCCGTTGCGTAGTTTTAAATATTTGAGCATACATAGGGACAGACAGCGGGAAAGCGACTTTGTTTTATACTATGTAGTGATACTAGTAGAACTTTCAACGCCAAATATGTATTTTGCATTTTACAAATAGAAAAGTATTTTAAATAAAATACAAAATTGTTTTNATTTATTTTCAACAGTTTGGGTTTGATGCCAAAATTATTTCCATTTTTTCGTTCGATATTAAATTCAGATCAACTTTTTTCGATTGGACCCAAATTGTGCTGACATTTAAACGAAACCTTATTTTTTTCTATTATTGAACACTTTGTATAGTAAATCAAATTTAGATGCCACAGACGATTTCGTATTAAAATAGGGAACAATTTTTGTTTGAAAAATCTTTTAATTAAATTTAATCATATTTTCGCTACAATTAATATATATATATTACGTACATTTTAGGCCACCCTGTATAGTATGTAGTGTACTGTTTCGTGTTTCTAGAGTAAACAAAATCGCACACTTTATAGTTAATTATTAGAGAGGGGATAACAATCAGAGTGAGCTAATGGCTAGTCAAAAAAAAAACCGTCAACTCAGTGTTGAATAGATTGCGTTAGTAGCAATCAATTACTTGCACATGTGCTAGTTGCATCTGATAGTTTAATAAATAATACAAGACGTTCGCAACTATATAAGGGTGGTTATTATTATTATATTATTTAATTGAGTGTCGGCTAAATCAAGAAAAACAACGGTAAGTACAAGGGTATTTAAAAAAAAATAATAAAAATATTTATAGATACAATTAATAGATATCGCGTTTAATTTTAGTATGATTATTAGCTGATCATTTATTTTTGAGTAAGGCCGAATGTATAACAGATTTGAAGTTAGAGTAATTCACTTTAACCGTTAATGAGACTGTTTATTAATTATTATTCGAGTTTAAAATGCGCATAAAGAATGTGGGAAGGTTATAAACAAAGTCTGTTTTTGAGTTTCCGGTAGGTACCGAGGCCAGAATGTCCTAAAACTGTAAAATACCATGAAGTATACTAGTATGAAAGAATTAGCTATAGGGTTGTTCGGAAAGTCATTTCGTTTTTTTTTTGTGGAAATGAAAGACAGTTTTCGTATAATAAACAAATACTTTATTAAATTATATATTGACCGTTCTGGTCCAACACCTTTTGCCATCTTTCTGGTAGTAGCATAATTCCACGCTCATAAAATTTTTGGTCTTTGCTGGCAAAAAACTGATCGAGGAGGTNATTGTAAATCAGTAAACTTTTAAAAACTTTTTCATAACCACTTCAGCGAGAATAATATAATACCTACGTTTAATTTTCAAATATAAATTGCGTCTACTACTTCCAGAAGAGTGGAAAAGATTAGGAGAAAAACATGGTCCCGCCGTACCTTCCCCTTTGTTAGTATGGCACTACTGCTTTTTCCTTAATTCTAACTATTACATACACTGGCTCTGTTTGATACTCCTCCAAAGAATTCCAGCCTACATAGTCGACTTTTTGGCCTACTGCGTAGGTAAAAAACCCATGTAAGTAATAACTACTTGAAATACATCTTCATTTTCCAATAACATATAGTTATACCGTTTTATCCTTAACAACAATTACAAAAAAGCTTTCGAGATTGATAATATAATGGTGGAGCTTCTCCCTCTACCGTTTTATTCCAACCTACCTTCTTATTCTTGACTTTCTTTACCATCAGTTATACTTTTTTATCCTTAACAACAATTACAATGACGCTTTAGAGAATAAATAATAAATAATGGTGAAGGTTCCCCCCACTTACTTTCTTATTCCCTACTTTCTTTGCCATTTCTTCTTTTTCTTCGTCCAATACTCATACTACCTCTTCTATTATTATTTTCTTATACTGAACTTTGACTACATTATCCTCATCTGTTTTCCGTTGCACTTTTCTCAAAATCTTCTGTATTTTTCTCTCTTCCATCATCAAATCATCTTTTTAATACACCTCACCCTTCTCTTCTGTATTTCTTTTTACCTTTTCATATATCTTTTACTTCCACCTCCAATCCTATCTCCTCCAACTCCATTCCAAAAATTATCAGGTTCAGCTGTCTTTCTTCCCTTCTTTATCTTACTATTTTCCATTTCCATTTCCTTATTGTTTTATTCTGTTTCTCCATTTCATTCTCTACACGCTTTTCTTCTTTATATAGATATGTCTAATCTGTCTTCCATTTCCTGTAATTTTCGCTTGGTCTCCTTCTTCATTCCTTTTACCTTTTCCTTTATATTTTTATTTATTCCAGCAATTTTATTAACCTATCCAATATATTACTCTCCCTTTCGTCTCCTATTTCTATATTAGTTCTACCCTTACTTTTACAACCCTTACATATCAATATTGTAGATTCATGTTTCCTGCAAAACTCTTGTGTCAATGTCGTTTCCGTTTTATTTAAAGCTAACATTAACTGTTCTCCCTACTAGGTCCGCAAATCCAAGTATTTTGTCATTTTCGTTTTATAAACCACACCATTAAATTTGCATTCTTGATTACAACGTCTTCAACAGAAAAAAAAATAATAATTTCAGGTTAGTTAAAGGGTACCAAAAGATCGAAAAATTCCTAAACGTCATTTCGTATTTCGCTACAAGGACATGGTTATTCCGAAACAAAAACACCAGAAACCTGTGGACTAAACTGAACGAAGAAGATCAAAAGTTGTTCATGTTCGATATGGGACGGTTCGAATGGGACTCGTATTTTTATACGTATATAAGGGGGGGACGGGTGTATCTCCTTAAAGACCCCCTTGACACGATACCCCAGGGCCGAGTGAAATATTACAAACTTAAACTAGCCCATTACACCCTAGTGACAGTGCTCGCGTTGATCTTCCTGAAGTTAATTTTGGTTTTGTGGAATTTGATTTTTTGAAACTTTAGTTTTTTACGTTTTTATATATATATGTTATAATGTGCCTACCTTATTTATAATTCTAATAAACAAAAATTAATTTACTGACGAATTTTTTATTTCCCGATTTCTAAAGAGCTTTCCGCCCTACTCCTCGGCTTTGCACTGCAATGTTGGTTCGCTGGTAAAACTTACTTAAATATAGAACGTATCTGTTTGACAGGGGCGGACACCCCCACCACCAAACCATACGTCACTACTCCAAGCATATCGTTGGTATCTTATTAATAGCTAAAAATGTACACATTTCTTCTACTAGTCTTAAAGGCTGCTTTCGTCTTTAATTTTGACAGTTCTTAGTCTTGTTTTTTTTTTCAATTTTTAAATCAAAAAAATCGGGAGTGTTTGAACCTGTGAAAACGTCCAGTCGCTTCTGAGCCTACTCATTCATGTGACGTCACGCAAAAGGTTGCAAGCCTCTAGATTTACGACAACGTCGGTTAATAACGTCTCGACTACAGCAACCAATTGACATTAAACATGAATTAATCGTAGCTGGATAATTTAAATTTTGGCATGGACTTCTGCATATTAATAAATTATTGTTTATAGGTTTTTGTTGGACACGCGTCTCCAATTTGATCTTTTTTCTTGGAAAATGCAAATCAATTTTTTCATTAGACTTGCTAACGAAATTTATTTATTTTCAATATTTTTTTCTAAGTCGATCTGCGAGACCTAAGGCTGCAACTGATTGATTACATTTTTTCATTGAATAATACGTTTATTATTGTAAACATTTTACTTAAAGAAAAAAATTTGATTCGTCCATGACATACCTTAAGCAGCCAGTATTTCTGAATTGCTATTAAGTATCTCGTAGATTAATTCTAGGATACCTGTCTAGAGATACAGAAAAATGATTTAATTTTTTTTGAAAATACATGTCTCTTTTAAATAATTTTAATTCGAAGGTGTTGAATTTGAATGAAATATGTCTGACATAGGGGAAGGCCGACGTTAAACGGTCTTGACTTTTAAATTATCTCATAAATTTTACAACTGCTTTACACTGTCGAAATAATATTAAAATAGAATCAGGTGCTAACGTTTTAAATGCCTTAATTGCATCTTTTGTTGTTTAAATTTACTGATTATTACCTGATGACAGAGTAGACGAACATGAAGCATTATCTATTGTTACAATTACTGTACACAAAACAATACTTGTACATACATAAAAGTCAATTAATATGAAGATTGGAAAAACTTTGGCGGTTGTTGTAGAACAAACGAAATAGATCAAACCACAACGCCATTATTTTGTTTGTTCTAAAGTCAATTAAAGTTAACGTTGCCCTTATCATAAGGACAGGAAAATATTGTAGCTCCCGCACTTCCTTCTTTAATTATTATTATTTGTTTATTGAGATCGAAAACGAAAACAAAAGCAATACGTCGTGCTTCGTAGGTATAAGTAGTGACGGAACGATGGGACGAGAAGTCTTAGTAAACATTTCTTTCTTTTTAATGGTCACGAGGTCAATGTCAGACCGCGAAATTATTGCGAATGCCTGCACGACATCGTAATTGCTCCACTAATAACTGCAATCAAAATAAAAATAAAAAGAAGAAAAAAACAGTTGACTCTCGGCAAATGTACGAAAGCGATGATGTTGTGGAAAATCCTGTGACCGAAGCAGTTTCCATGTACTTTTTTGGGCAGTCAGCGATCTCCCAGGATCACTTTAAAGGACAACAGTCGATGGGCGGAAGTGTGGGCAACTCGGTGGTACGTAAAAACGTATTTTTTTTTTAACAATAATGGCGTATTACTCCCCGAGGGAAAGGTCTCCCTATCGTACTTTCGAAATTTAAAAATAATTTTTCTCAATAGATCGTAGACATATTGTATATTATCCTTAATCCTTTAAATTACTGCAGCTAACAGATAAAAAAAAAGATTTTTCTTGACTGTATCTTTTAATAGATACGTAATCTAATTTGTATCAACAACTGGCTATTTATTTTCAAAATATTTTCAATAATTACGACGAAATAACAAAATAGAAGTAATTCTGCGGAATTACATGTTAAGGTCAAACCTTTTTGTAGGTGTTATTGATGGCGGCAAGTAAGAGCGGTGTCCAAATTATCTTACGAATAAAAGAATAGATTATTTTGTTCGGCCTCGATTGACCGTGGCCCGCACAATAAAAAATACACAGCGTAAAGAGAATGTGACACACTTCACTTTTGTATAAGAATACTCCAAAAGATTTATAAACAACTATTATTGCAGCACGTTGCATTATACTACAACTATTATAACAAATTAACAAACAAAAGAGCAAAGAAAAAGGGTCAAGAGTTAATAAAAAAAAAAAATACCTAACATACTTTTGGTTTATTGAATGAATGAATTAAATTTTGTTAACAATTAGTGTGAAGCGAAAATCAAACGCTATAATTTCGAAATCACCGTTAATTTTAAAATTCTTTTGACGTTCTCAATATGGCTGCCGTTGTCCGCCATATTGGCCGTTACGTAACAACGTATAACTACGAATCCAACGGTGGGTATCTCAAATTTTCAAAGCAAAGTAACTGTGTGTCCAAAAAATTGTAAAAAAGCAAGTTATCATTTGATAAATTTGCAATTAAGTACTTTGTTAAGTAATTAACATATCAAAAATGCGCTCTTGGTCAGGTTCTACGTAAGAGGTCACCAATTTTGGCATGTTTTAAGTATGTATTACACATCTGTTGACAAACAGGTAGTGTTTATTATAATGAACTTTTTCAAAACAAAATAAATGCTAAGATGTTTTCTTGTCCTAGTTTTTAATCTATAAGCCGTGTAGTAGTGGGGAATTTGCGCAATCATCAGCGACAACACGTTCGTGTTTGTGCACGGATGAAGTATGCAAATTATTTATATTAATAAAAATAAAAATAAATACCTATCTGTTATGGTAAATACAAAATTAACTTTGTGTTGTATTTCCCTGGTTCAAAAATTATTGGTGGCACGACATAAAAAAAAATTTTCCCCGATTGCTCATACGGTGAGCTACGAATTTACAATAAGAATAAAATTAATAGTAACAACTGGTGATTGGGAAATCGTTTTTTTCTTTCTTTACCTGCGTTTTGGGTCAAAAATATCATTAGGTACAATAAATGTTAAAGTTTAAGAGTTGCAGGACCTTCCATTAAATGATATAACTTTTTATAAATATCAGCAAGATGTCAGTGAATCGTTGAACTTTAGGAGAATTGCAAACGCAAACACAGGAGCTTTAACCGGTCAAAATCCAGAAACAAAGTTCAAAATTTTCGGTTATTGTCAAAGGCAGAATTCTCTTGAATTTCTGTCAGTGGGCGTCAAGTTTTACACGTGTCTGCACATCTTTATAAAGGGTTAACAAGAAATTAAAGCCAACGAAACACAAAAAAAGTAAATTGTAAAAGTGTTAGCATTCATGTTTTTACAATTAATTCAAATGCTAAATGTTGTTGTTTGTTTGTTTGCTATCATTTCACCGAGCATCATGAAATTTTGTAAATTCTATGTCATTGGTACAGAAAAGGACATAGGGTACCTTTTCTTCATCATTATCATAAGGTCGTCAGTCCTAAGACTGGTTGGACACGCACCTCCACTCTTTCTTGTCTTGAGCTAATCTTCGCATTTCCCTAATACTAGAACAACCCACATCCTTAACCATCTGCGAACACTAATCTAATGTAGGTCTACCTCTACCCGTCCTAACTCCTGTTTCTGCCTCTAATATGTCTCTGACTAGACCTTTATGCCTCAGAAAGTGTTCTACCAACCTATCTCGCCTATTCCTTATTGACTTCCATAGAGTCCTCTGTTCTCCTACTCTTTCTAACCTTCTCTATCCACGATATCCTCATCATTCGCCGGTAACACCACATTTCGAACGTTTCTAACCTTTTCTATTCTGCCGCGCCCAGTGTCCATGTTTCGCACCCGTACAGACTCGACCCTGCGCTATCCTCTGCTTTATATCCCTACTAATCCTTCCGTCCTGAGTTATCTGACTTCCTAGATACTTAAAATCAGTCACTCCTTTTAATCTTTCGTATCTTATCTTTATATTCGCCCTTTCCCTACCTTTTCTTCCCTTGCATACCACTACTTTTGTTTTACTTTTACCCGGAAGACAAATACTATTCCAGAGGATAGAGAAATTAGTTTTATGTGGTCGCCGATAATCTTTGACACATTCAGGGCATCAATGCGAGCAAATAAGCCCTGATTAAAACCCAGTTTTCTATAAACGCAATAGACTTATGTTGTTTTTCTCTTGTTTGCAATCTGAATCTGTTTAAACAATCAATATCTGTATTCGATCCTACATAAAAAAAATTATGAGTATATCGTGTATATGAACCTTTTTATATATAGAAAATTTTATGTTTCTTTCAACAAACTTGGTCCCATTCCTGTAAGTCTTTTTATTTGTGAGACGTAAACGAAAATGTGAAGTGAAGTATGTCTTCCTAAGCTTTCGTTATGGATAATTAAAAAGTCCAAAGACCAACTACAAGGGAAACGTCAATACTACGCGCTCATCTCATCATGTACATGTACTTGCAATTGTTCAAAACAAAAAAAGAAGCATCGTCCTGCGCAAGTGTCAAATTATACTTACTTAGATCGGATTATGTAAATAAATAATAATTTTACTAATCGTAAAATGCTTCATGAATATTTATTTACATGTTTATATAAAATGACGTCATAATTTGGACGTAGTTTTACGTAAAAAACGGGGGAAGGGACGAATTACAGGATTTTTTGTCAAAAACAGAAGATTCTTAGAAAGGTAGCACGTGCAAATTGGCGAGTAAGATTTAGTATTTGCATGACCTCCCACTATTTTTCATCATCTTTTTGATTAAAATCGACTTCCAAGCCATAACATGGTTTAGAGTCGCGTTCTCCGCCAATTACAAATTTTCGAAAAAGAAAAACACTTAAGAAGGAAAAACCCATCGTTGGTTATTAATACAGTGCATGGTTTTTATTTTTATTCGTCAATTAAAAATACGTATCTGATATATTGGTAAGT